ATATAATGTTGGGGGCCCCGGTTTTCGTGGGGGGGGGAAGGCGGGTGGGGGCGGGCCCAAACCCCGAGTCCCCCTGCTCCCTCGTCGTTGCCGCCCGGGCCCCCCGCAGGAGATAAAGGGCGGACCCAACCCCGTTAAAAACGAAAACGCGGCGGGGGGAATGCCCGGGGGCTCGCGGCGCCCCCCCCCGCCGCCCCCCCGGGGCCCCGGGCCCGCCCCCCCCCAAACTTCCAAAAACCCCCAAAGTACAACCCGCTACGAATAAAGTGCGAAAGGGGGGAAAAGGGGGGGGCCTGCGCGGGGGACCCCGATGCCGGGCCGTGCCCCTGCCGGGGCCCCCGGGCCCCCGCCAGGAGACTCAACGCGCCCCGGGAAAAACCCACTGTCTACTATCGGGCAAAGTTCCGGGGGGGGTGGGGCGGGGGCCCCGGGCCCGGGGGCCCCCCTGCCGGCGTTGCGCCCCCCCCGCCGGGATCCGCCCGGGCCCACGCTCAGAATAAACCGGGGGGGTGGGCGGGGGCCCCCCGGCCCCCGGGCCCCCCGTCCTGCGGGCCCGGGCCCCCCAGGGTAACGCGCCGAGGTTTCCCCCCCTTGCCCGGGGGCCATGCCCGGGGGGTCCCGGGGGGCGCCCCCCCGGGCCGCGGCCCCTCCCCCCGGGGGCCCCCGGGGCCCCCGCCCAAAAAATCCCCGGGGGGCGCAAACCCTTTTTACCGTTTCCCCCCAACGGGGGGGGCAGGGGCCGGGGCACCCCCCCGGGGGCCCGGGGGCCCGGCCGGCGGCGCCCGGGGGCCCCCCCGGAGTCAACCGCCCTCAAACCACTGTCTACTTCGAAAAAAGCGCGAAGGGGGGTTTAATGCGAGTGGTGCCGGCCAAAAGGGGCACCCCGGGGGCGCCTGCTGCCGGGCCGCCCCGCCCGGGGCCCCCCCCCGGAAGGGGAAAAAACCCCCCCGGGAAACCCGCCAGACAAAAAATTTTCGGGGGGCGGAAAAGGGGGGTTTTCGGGCCAAACCCCCCCCCCCCCGGGGCTGGGGTGGTGCCGGCCCCCCCCGCCCGGGCCCCCCGGCCCGGTCCCCCCGCCCCCTACGGTTCGGGCGGGGGAAAGGGGGGCCGGGGAGGGCACCCCATGCCCCCCCCCTTCCGGGTTGGGCCCCCGGCCCCCCCGGGGTCACCGGGGCCCCGGCAACTCGTTTTTCCCCATGGGCCCCGAAGGGGGGGGGGGTGCCCCTTTTGGGGGCCCCCCCCCCAGGGGGCCCCGGCCCCGCGGGGGCCCCCCGCCCCGGGGCCCCCCCCAGGGCTCAAGCGGAGGTCCTATGGGCCACGCATAAACGGGCGGCAATCTTTTAGGGGCCGGCGGGGGACCCGGGCCCCCCTGCCGCCCGGTCCCCGGGCCGGCCCCAAACCAACCCCCCCTACAACCATTCCACTTCGCCAAAAATTGCGAAAGGGGGGGAAATGCGACCGGGGGAGGCGCCCCGGTGCCCCGCCGGGTGCCGCCCGGGGCCCCGGGCCCCCCCGCAGGGGAAAAAACCCCCTAACCTAGTTTTCACCTTTTAATTTCGCAAAGTCGGGGCGGGGGCCGGCCGGGCCCCCGGGGGCCCTTCCCCCTCCGGGTCCCCCCGGGCCCGCCGCCGGGGCCCAAAGGCCGCAGGAAAAACCGTCCAAAAAACCGCGCAAAAGGGGGGTAACAGTTTCCCTTCAACCCACCCCCAGGCCCCCCGGGTGTGCGGGGGTTTCCCCCGGGCCCCCCCGAGGACCCGCGCCGCCCGGTCAAAAATGCCTTTTCGCTGCCCCCCGGGGGGGGGTTGGGGGGGTCCCCCCCCCCCGCCGGCCCCGGCCCCGGCGTGCCCCCCGGGCCCCCCCGGGGGCCAAACCGCCCGAAAACCCCCTGTTTTTAGGGGTAAGCAACCGGGGGGGAAGGGGGGCCGGGCCCCGGGGCCCCCCCGGGCGGCCTGCGCCGCGCGTTCCCCCGGGGGGCCCCCCCAAACCAACCGGCCCGGGAAAATTTTTTCTTCAAAAAACCCCCCCCCCGGGGGGGGGGCCTGGGGGCGCCCCCGGGCGCCCGGCCCCCGCTGCCTGGGCCCCCCCGCGCCGGAGCTCAACCCGCAACAAAAAATTTATTTTAAAAAAAAGGGGGAAGGGGGGGGGGCGGGCCCCCGAGGGGGCCCCCGGGCCCCCCCGTGCCCCCGCCCGGGGCCCCCGGGGCCGAGAACCGGCGCGGCAACCAAAAGTCTAATTAAAAATTTCGGAAACTGGGCGTGAAGTGCGAGGGGCCGTGCGCAGGGGACCCCCAAAAGGGCCCCCTGCCCCGCGGGGCCCCCCCGGGGCCCCCGGGCCCCCCCGGGCCAAACCCCCTCCCCTTCACTACCTTTGGGGGGAAGGGGGGGTTTCGGGGGGGGCCCCGGGGCCCCCTGGGGCCCGGCGGCGGCCGGGGGCCCCCCCCGGGCCCCCCCCCCCAAACCTCCACCGGGCCCCAAAACCGTCGGGAAAAATCGGGGTCCGGCGAGGGGGCAAGGGGGGGCCCCCCGCGGGCCGGCGGCCGCCGGGCCCGCGCCCGGGGACTCAACGCGCCGCAGGTACAACCTCTGTCTACTATCGACATAAAGTTCGCGAAAAGGGGGGTTTTAAATGCGAGTGGTGCCGTGCGCGGGGCCCCCCATTTTCCGCGCTGCTGCCGCTGCGTCGTCCCCCCGGGCCCGCCGCCAGGAGACTCAACGCGCCGCAGGTACAACTACTGTCTACTATCGACATAAAGTTCGCGAAGCTGGGCGTGAAGTGGGGAGTGGTTGCCGTGCGCAGGCGCACCCCGAGTGCCGCGCGCTGCTGCCCCTGCCGTGCGTGCCGCCCGGGCCCGCCGCCAGGAGACTCAACGCGCCGCAGGTACAACCTACTGTCCCACTATCGACATAAAGTTTTGCGAAGCTGGGCGTGAAGTGCGAGTGGTGCCGTGCGCAGGCGCACCCCCGAGTGCCGCGCGCTGCTGGCCGCTGCCGTGCGTGCCGCCCGGGCCCGCCGCCCGGAGACTCACGCGCCGCAGGTACAACCTACTGTCTACTATCGACATAAAGTTCGCGAAGCTGGGCGTGAAGTGCGAGTGGTGCCGTGCGCAGGCGCACCCCGAGTGCCGCGCGCTGCTGGCCCGCTGCCGTGCGTGCCGCCCGGGCCCGCCGCAGGAGACTCAACGCGCCGCAGGTACAACCTACTGTCTACTATCGACATAAAGTTCGCGAAGAGCTGGGCGTGAAGTGCGAGTGGTGCCGTGCGCAGGCGCACCCCGAGTGCCGCGCGCTGCTGCCGCTGCCGTGCGTGCCGCCCGGGCCCGCCGCCAGGAGACTCAACGCGCCGCAGGTACAACCTACTGTCTACTATCGACATAAAGTTCGCGAAGCTGGCGTGAAGTGCGAGTGGTGCCGTGCGCAGGCGCACCCGCAGTGCCGCGCGCTGCTGCCGCTGCCGTGCGTGCCGCCCGGGCCCGCCGCCAGGAGACTCAACGCGCCGCAGGTACAACCTACTGTCTACTATCGACATAAAGTTCGCGAAGCTGGGCGTGAAGTGCGAGTGGGTGCCGTGCGCAGGCGCACCCGAGTGCCGCGCGCTGCTGGCCGCTGCCGTGCGTGCCGCCCGGGCCCGCCGCCAGGAGACTCAACGCGCCGCAGGTACAACCTACTGTCTACTATCGACATAAAGTTCGCGAAGCTGGGCGTGAAGTGCGAGTGGTGCCGTGCGCAGGCGCACCCAGTGCCGCGCGCTGCTGCCGCTGCCGTGCGTGCCGCCCGGGCCCGCCGCCAGGAGACTCAACGCGCCGCAGGTACAACCTACTGTCTACTATCGACATAAAGTTGGGCGAAGCTGGGCGTTGAAGTGCGAGTGGTGCCGTGCGCAGGCGCACCCCGAGTGCCGCGCGCTGCTGCCGTGCCGTGCGTTGCCGCCCGGGCCCGCCGCCAGGAGACTCAACGCGCCGCAGTTACAACCCTACTGTCTACTATCGACAGCTACTCCCTTGCAATATGAAAAATAATTATAACTTATTGCCGTACGGTGTACTTGTAACCGCTGAACGTGTCAGGCGGTCTACTCACCGGCTTACCCAGCCGAGAAATACACGAGATTACCTCAGGGCCCCTTGTCGAAAACAGAAGGGGGTGCGTGTGGGCAACCTAAGGACTCTTCAGAGAAACACAACCTACACCTCAGTCATACATACATGTATATTTCATTCCAAATACAGAGTTAAAACTGAATAAATATAAATAGTGGGTATATAAAAAAAGATCCCGCAGCCTCGCGCGTCAAGGCCGAGCTGATGTTGCTAGGAGCCTCTTCGTCAGCAATCCTGCAGGTTATTTCCACACCAGCCCGAGTCGGCTATTTATATTAGGTATATAGGAAGGTTAGGTATTTATTTAGTTACATTAACAAAAATTACGTAACCCTGAATGAGGCTGACCGCTTGCTTGTGAGCCGCGTGACTGCCAAGACTGCCATTTACGCATAAGAAGACCACAAACAAAAGATCACGCCGTCTGAGAAGTATCTCTTGACCCGAAATCTGGAGTCTTACGAATGGATTAACACTCATATATCGTTCAGATTGCAAAAACAAATGACTATAAAAAAATAAGATTAACTTACCACTGAAGTGGGTACTTAGGACACAGAATTTACTAAAAATGAATAAACAGACAATCAAAATGCTACTTCAGATCGGAAGACTAGAATCACCAGAATGTCCGGCGGTGTCTGCGGCTGAAAGCCGGACTTATATATGCTCGGTTTGTGAAATTTCTAGAAAGAATCCCTTCTTTACTTAATCATGAATGGGAGCCCAATCGAATTCAAATTATCATTGAGGTTAACACGACTCAATTCAACAGTAACCCGCTTCCTACCATAACAGGACACTTTTAACACCAATACAATTTGACAGGATAAATTATTACGACCACGAGTTACCAAAAAAAACCACGCCATCTAGTGGTCCGATGTCGGACGAAGAGACATCAATACTATAGTTACAATCTACTTCGGATAAATCAATAAATGCGACGCAGGGCGACAGGCGTCACTGTTTACAACTCCGTACGCAATACAAATATAATGGAAAAATAACTGTTACATACTTAATTATCAATTAATAAAATTAAAAAAATATAGACTAGTTAGTACTGTATTGTAATTATAACGGTAATAATAATATTGTTGTTCATGAGATACATATTTGTTTAGAAAAGTTTTCTTGTGGTAATAATTGTTAGTCTTTTTGCTTTCGTCATAATACATCGCACCTTTAATAATAAACTGAATTAATTCAAAATTTACGTTTTTCGAGTTTTCAACAAATACCAAATCAACTTCATCAGTAGAACACGAACAATCCAACAGCCGACTCGATACCATGAAAATGGCAGAGATAAGAGATCGTCGTTCTCTTTTTGACGAACTCGCATGTACATGAATGTCAAACTTTAAATGCGATTTCCCACAATATTGAAATTCTAAGTTAATTCAGTTAATGAATAAAGGTGCGACATGGCAATGGTGTGAACAATTAATGTTATCGTGTGCGCAAGACTTCGTAATGTAACGAGTCCTGCTAATTTTATTTTGAAAAGTAGCATATTAGGTTCTGTGTGTAGTGTAGTGTGAAACTGAGTGAATTATCAGTCTTTTAATTTTAATGGGTTATGGGTATCAACATCAATAATGCCGTAAGTGACCTTCACAGCCGCGGAAAATCCTGCCATGATGTTAATTTATAGGAAACTCTATCAAAAACGCATCTTTTGCTTTACGGACAGGTATGGAGTCAATCGTGTATGTCCTACAGACTGCCGAATTTTTGTAAGGGCGGTACAAAGATTACGAGACAACCAAAGTACCTACTTTTTCAAGAAGTGTCACGTACTGCCAGGTCCGAAGCTAGTCGAGCATTCCGAAAATAAACACGTGAATAAAATCGTATTCTTAATACTTAGTAGGTAGGTAATAAGAATGTAAAGTTCGCCGGCTCATGTTATCAATGGTGTTCTAATTCGGAAATTATTTTATTGTATTTAGTTTGTTCTAAATTTGCATTTCTGTATTTGCGTACTATTTTTTTTATTATTTATTTTAAAAGACGTATATTGAACCGTGTTATCTGTTATTTCATTTTTTGTGATATGTATTATAACACCCGTTATAAATACCGATATAATAATTAAATTATTGTAGCGAGTATCGTGCGATCGCAGTCGTGTCGTATGGGCAAGCAATGACGGCGTCCAAAGCCGGATCACCTCCCGCGCAGGCCCCGCCTGACTTTGCGTCGCCCGCAACTAGAATAACCTATCTCTTAATAAAAGTTACATCGGTAACATTATAACGATATTAACTTAAACTTATATAATTAGTAATTATCGGTTTCGCTCGATAACCCTGAATAAAAATATTTCAATGAAATCAACATCTCCACTCTAAATTTCAGGAAGGTTGCATATCGGACTACGCGCCGTCGACCCCCCCGATGGTTCCGGCGCTACTGGTCCACTGTATAAACGAGGTGGAGAAGAGGGACTCATGGAGAAGGGAATATACCGCATCAGTGCCACTGACAAAGACGTAAAACGACTCAAGGTATATATTGTTATTTACATAGCATCATCATCAACAGCCTTTAATAGTCCACTGCTGGACATAAGCCTCTCCTGAGGAAGGAGGTTTTGGCCTACTATACCACGCTGGCCAGACGGGTTGGTATAGGGTTTGTGTCAAGTTTTCCTTCTCTCTGCAGTGCTGTTGTCCTGCGTAGTTTTTTCCCTCAGTCGGCTCTTACGACACCCACGGGATGAGTACGGGTGGTGACACCGTCACCACACGGACCTACCATCGATGGTAGTGAAATTGTTAAAACACACGTGAGTTTTTATACTAGGATTGCCAATATGTTCTTTTGTTTTCCCTTTAACTTTAATTAGTTTTTGTGATATTTTGACTTGACGTGTCACTGAGAAGACTACCGTGTAACTCAGGAGCGGTTCCTGCGCGGGTGCGGGTCGCCGTCGCTGGGCGGCGAGGACGTGCACGTGCTGTGCGGCTGCATCAAGGACTTCCTGCGGGGGCTCCGCGAGCCGCTGGTGACGAGCGCGCTGTGGGCCGACTTCCTGGAGGCGGCGCGCCTGGCCCAGCCCGACGCCACGGCTGCGCTCGTGCAGGGGCCCTCAGCCAGCTGCCGCAGCCCAACCGCGACTCGCTCGCCTTCCTCGTGCTGCACCTGCAGAAGTGAGCATCCGGACCCACCACCGCTCCCTGCGGCACTCCTACCTTTATTGCATTGAATTTAAGTGCTACTTCCGAATACCTCGCACATAAATACTTTTCATTCGGTTACCTTTGCGATACAAAGTGGTCGTGTCGACGAAGACACACGACGAAGATTTGTCAAAGAAATACGTTGTTCCCTACTGTATGAAACGCATGCCATAGATCGATACTGAACTACTGCCGGTGTGATCCTTGACAGTAGCTCCGTACTGAAATATATTTATCGGATTTTAAGTATTTGTTTTTATAATGAAAAAATAAAAAAGAACTCTAAAAGTATTAGTCACAAGGCGATCCTAATTCAATTTGTGTTGTATGTGTATGTGTCTATATTCTGTGTCTACTTATTTAAATCATTCTTACTTAGTAGACTTAATTCATAGACCATAACGACATAATTTTTATTAAAATATTTGCACTAAAGCAACATAATTTTTCAACATTGTGTTGCTTTAACGCCAATTCTTATTATTTAGTTTCAATAAAGTGTTTTTCAAATTCTAGGGTAGCTGAAAGTCCCGAGTGTGAGATGGGCATAGACAATTTGGCCAAAATTTTCGGCCCCACGCTCATCGGCTATGGGCTCATGTCGCAACCCACGAGATGTACAACGCGACAACACAGATGTTTAGCGTAAGTGTTTTGTGCTTTATGTTCTATCTCATTTTTAAGGTATTGGGGCGGCAAACAAGCAGACAGGTCACCTTATGGTAAGTGACTACTGCCACCCATGGACACTTGCTACTCAAGAGTTACAGGCCTCCACCAGGAATAAGCGGTTCCACCGGCGTGATATTGTGTTACTAAGGCGTTAGGACGGTACACGCGCATTACGCACATTGTTGTGTTACAACTATTTATGTCACCCCAAATAAACAGCAACAGCAGTTTCACCACAATGGGAATGATACCGGAGACCCAACCACCCCACTCCCCTCCAATTCGGGAGGAAGGGAGGGGAGACACTCGACTTCTTGTTTGCCTGATATAACATTAAAACAATCAAGTATATCAAAACACCTACCTAACCTCCATGTATTGTAATAATAATATAATTAATATTTTCGAACATTGACACACAACGTCATTTAGTTTCAAACTAAGCAGAGCTTGTACTACGAAAGCTAGATTGACTGATAGAATACTTACATACTTTTTTTTGTAAATATATTTATTTAATAATTATATTATAAATATTAAACTCACAAACGCCGAAACATTTTGTCCGACCCGGGAATCGAAACCGAGACCTCAGCACAGCAGTCGCGTACGCTACCACTGCACCACCGAGGCAGTCTGTTAAGAGAAGTGACTGCACAGTCGCTCATATCCACAAAGTTATTAATACCACTCAAATAATAATAGTGGACTTTCGAGCAGGTGATGCAGCTACTTCTCCGGTTGCCTGGCGACTACTGGTCCCAGTGGGCCTGCCCTAACGAGCCTGGCTCGCCGCTCACCACGACCATGACGAGACCGCGAGGATTTTTCTTCTCACCCGCTGATACAGGGTGAGTCTTTACCATCAGATACCACTGTCATATACGTATATACGGGGTTACTGGTTTAGTCGATCTAGATACATTAAGGGTTGTAGTGGCCCTTATTGCTAATCGATTTCACTATGAAATACCATATCCCAAACCTAACCATTTTCAAGATATTGTACTTTTAAGATTATTTATAAAATTGACGATATTTTGTCTAATACAATTCTAATTTCCATTACCAAAATTGTAGTTAACAAACTGGGCTTAAGTAAATAGATAATTGCAAAAAAAAATGCTTTGTGCAATATTTACAAAAAAACTATGACAGTTAAATTGCAGATATGTTAAAAATATGTTATATTCAGCTATAGATAGCTATAGCTATAGAAAATATCAACATGTTCTTCTTTCGTAAAGGTTATCATCCTAGAATATTATACCTTATTAGAATAAGGTATAATATTATATATATACACCTTATTACAATAAGGTATAATATTATATATATACACCTTATTACAATAAGGTATAATATTATATATATACCTTATTAGAATAGGTATAATATTATATATATACACCTTATTACAATAAGGTATAATATTATATATATACCTTATTAGAATAAGGTATAATATTATATATATACACCTTATTAGAATAAGGTATAATATTATATATATACCTTATTAGAATAAGGTATAATATTATATATATACACCTTATTAGAATAAGGTATAATATTATATATATACCTTATTAGAATAAGGTATAATATTATATATATACACCTTATTAGAATAAGGTGTAATATTATATATATACACCTTATTAGAATAAGGTGTAATATTATATATATACACCTTATTAGAATAAGGTATAATATTATATATATACACCTTATTAGAATAAGGTATAATATTATATATATACCTTATTAGAATAAGGTATAATATTATATATATACCTTATTAGAATAAGGTATAATATTATATATATACACCTTATTAGAATAAGGTGTAATATTATATATATACACCTTATTAGAATAAGGTATAATATTATATATATACACCTTATTAGAATAAGGTATAATATTATATATATACACCTTATTAGAATAAGGTATAATATTATATATATATACCTTATTAGAATAAGGTATAATATTATATATATACCTTATTAGAATAAGGTATAATATTATATATATACACCTTATTAGAATAAGGTATAATATTATATATATACACCTTATTAGAATAAGGTATAATATTCTAGGATGATAACCTATACGAACGAAGAACATGTTGATATTTTGATGTTTGAAATGCATCTTATTCGCGCGTTGGGCATTTTTGAACAACAAACACAAAAATGTATTTTTTGAGATTGGAAGAAACCATTGAACTCGCGACACCGTTACCGTTATCGACACCTCTCTATATAAGTATCTACATAATATTGCCCTGTTTACACGAGAGTTGAGTTTGGGTTGAAATACATTGATAATATAACTATAAATAATATAAACATATATTGTGTATATACGTACAACATACATATAAATTCATTTAAATAAGGGCAGGGAAAGCGTGCAACTGAACTTACTTACGTCTGAATTAATGTGGTCTTTGGATGTATTTACAATAGATTTAACTCAATTCAGCTAATTTATCTTTTCAGTATATCAAGAAAGAAGAGAAAACTACTTTCAGTGACATAATTTAAACCTTACTTATATTGTATAAGAGTTAGTTTTCGTTTGTTCGTTCAAGAGAACACTTATGTTACCCACTTTGTTTGTACATTACATTATTTATAACTTAATATATAACATCTACTTTACTAATATATAGTTGACTAAGCTCTTAAGTTATAGATCGTAATATATAGTTATTGTATTACTATATTGTCGGTTACAACTGACCTGCGTCACCACTGTCTTAAATAGTACACAGTGTCTTACAGAAAGGTGTGTCGTTGATTGCTGATAATCATATTGCGAACAAAAGTATCACTGATTTCAATTCCCATGACCCAGGAGATGGAGAAGACAACATTGTAATATGTTGTCTTCTCCATCTCCTAATTATAACGACCTTATAGCCGAAATATTTTCTTCAAATTTAAATAGAACCAGTCTTGAATAGAACTTGTTTAATTAAGAGATATAGAAATCGATTCTGAAATAGTAAAGATACCTCCTAAAATAGTAAAAAAAAAACAGTCGAATTTAGAACCCTTTGGAGGCACTTTATAAACTTAAAATGCTTGTCGCGAGGGCACGTGGAAACATAAAATGTGTAAATAAAAATTTAATCACATCACGTCGTCATCATCATAGAAGGTGCGATACATTTTTGGTTTCCTTGTTTTGATTTAACCGGCTGTGGTCTCGGCAGTTCACCTTATTCAGTCGATTTGTGCTGTTTATGATTAACTGTAGAAGCTGTAGACAATTCGGCATAAGTAAATTATTACGGAATAAAGATGGCATGTAGTTTTTAACAGGTCCCTGTAGAAAAGTGGTGATACAGGTAGTTTTGTTTTCTCATAGACTAGTATTTTAGATACTTTGTCGTCTAAAAGGCAAGTAACCTATCAAAATAATAAATTTAAGTTTTTGTGGCAGTAAAACGTATTGGTGTTAATAAATTTATGAGATTGAAATAGTTTTGACACTTTTCCTAATACGAGTTTATCACTCTCTTAAAATTAACAAACTTATAGGAACGTGTTCCTTAACTCAAATTCAATTTTAGTTCACTAGTTGTTAAACAATCTCATAGTTTAAGAATGCCATGCTTGTGACTTAATTATTGTTTGACATAAAGTTAAGTTTTTGTTTTAATTTTGATGAACTATATATTTTTCGGGCACTGACTTTTTGATTTTGATAAAATGTACCTGTATTTAGTGCGTTAATAACTTGTTACCAACAAACTTCGTCAAAAAATCATAAACTCACGTAACTGATGGTTTTTTCGGTTAAAACTGTTCCAGAGTATCTTTGTGCCAAATTTTATTTACTTCCGTTCAATCGTTCTGCCGCTGACAAACATTCACCCATCCAAACTTTTTGCATTTAAAATAAAAAAAAAAATAACTTCCTTCATTTGTTGCGTTGTCCACATACAGGTAAACATCATCTAACGAAGAAGAAACTCGAAAAGTTTTCCTATGATTATTATAAATACTTTGTTTGTGATTGTAATTAATTATTAATGCTTTCCTACATATTTTGTTGAACGCACACCGCTAGTTATTTTGAGTTTGCAGGTACGTAAACATCTTTTCTGCAAATACTTATTAGTATTCTCATATTGGTTGCTTAAACATTGAAAGAGATTCTAGAGTAGCTTAGTAGTAGCTAGATTCAGAGAAGATAATATTCTTGTATATTTTAAATGAAGTTTGTTGTAAATAGTTTCAGCAAATATTTTTTATAGAATAACGTAAATTTTTAAGTTCCATTTCCGTTATCGTGACGTCACACAACCGCCTGCGATTAACGATTATTAACATATATAAGTAATTATTAAGCCAGTGTATATATGACTTCTGAGAAACCAATGCATTCTATGCACGTTAATGTTTTGGATGGCATATTACCCAACATAACTGTTTGTGTCGTGTGTAGAAGTGTGTACCGCTGATTCTATTTCAGAGAAGATAAATAAAGGCCACGCCCACAAATACTCTGTAATTATTCACTGGATAATTCTTTACTCAATCGCTAAATTTTTGCCGTGATATCAGAACAATAACGATATAAAAATTTCCTTAGCGGTTTCTACTAAACCAAAACTCACATCAACCCTTTGTTAAAATTGCTACTATAAAATTTTTCGTTTATTTTTATAACAGTATATTTGCTCTAAAATACAATATATTCATATTCAATATCAACTTTCTATTAAAACGAATCTAAATAAAGAATCGGTACAAACAACCCCTAAACAATGTAGAATGGTAAATTATATTGCAGCTTGTTTAGATAATTTATATATATAAATAAAATAATATTGTAAACATTTTGTTTAAGGACACGTTCCCATATTCTAGCTGTTTCACTTAATTAATTATCACGGAACTATTTAAATCTTACAGCAGTAAAGGTAACATTTAGATACTCGCTAAATTAGTAGCCGAATAACTCGACTATTAAATATTAGTACTGAAGTACGATAGCCCAAACATCTCCGATCGGCTCGATCCCTTGGCGTTACGTAGAGATGTGGCTTCACTCTGCATTCTCTATCGTATATATCATGGAGATTGCTCCGAGGAATTGTTCGGACTAACTCGCTCCACTACTGTCTTTTTGAGACACTTTTGCCTCGCACAACTAATCTGTGGAACGGGTTATCGTCTGCGGTATTGCCGGACCCATACGACCTTCAAGAAAAGAGGGTACTCGTTCCTAAAAGGCCGCCAACGCGTTTCTCACTCGTGAGTTGCTGACGTTCATGGGCGGATATGGTAACTTCTTATCAGGTGACCCATCTGCTGGTCTGCCACCTATCACAACAAAAAAAGAAGTACCAAATACACCCGAGCAACTCGCCGAGCGTATTCGCACCGGCGAGTATCTAAATGAGTCGTAACGTTGATATGCGTGTTACGGTTTGTTACAAAAGGTATTATATAAGAAAAACAATATGGGACTGTATCCTTATGTAAGGCATTTGTAATAATTAAGAATAAGTGACTAGGGTGTAGTAATAATCTATCTTTTAATGGCGTGACAACTGGACCAATCGACTTGCATCAGTTTGGTCGACGCCATTGTAAAAGTAGCATACAAGCAACAAACTTACGTGTTGCCTTTTAACATCTGTATCCTAGCATTATTACCAAAAAAACCCCATGTCAAAGCGGTATTATCGTAACAAGCGAAAATGTAAAAACAAAATTGAACCTTAGTGTTGACCATTGGAGTTTAATATCGTTTACTTTTAGCATTAGATTGTACAGACAACTTACAAATTATAAGTTGTTTTATGTTCTATTAATCGTATCATCACATTTGTACCTAGTCATGGACTAGTATTTAGTTGTACAATAATGTATACCTACTTAGTAATATGTAGTTATAATCACTGTTTGTGAATCGAATAAACTTACCATACTCACTTTGTGTTTTATTTGTATACTAGCTGAGACCCGCGGTGTTACCCGTTTGTTGGCAACGCCGCGAGGCGAAGCTAGTCTAAAAAAAGTAGCCTAAGTTACTCCTTATGTCATCAGCTATCTGCCAGTGAAAGTCCCGTCGAAATCGGTCCAGCCGTTCCAGAGATTACCCGGTACAAACAGACAGACAGACAAAATTGTAAAAAATGTTATTTTGGCATATGTACCGTGTCAACATACATATGCATTTAGTAAAAAGCGGTTATTTTAATATTACAAACAGACACTCCAATTTTATTATTTGTATAGATAAACATATTTATCCATTCTGAGGTATTGGAAAAATAGGCAAGATGTAAAAACTTTCACTATTTAATTGGTACAACAATAGGTATTTGCTTCCGCTAGAGGTGGAATAAGCTGCGGGCGGGGCCCTGAAGGCCAGCAACGTCGCGATACTGCGACGACCGCAGCGGGTGCTGGCCATCAGGATCATAAGGGGGTACCGCACGATCTCTTTTGAGGCGGCGAGTCTCCTGGCCGGAACACCACCGTGGGACCTGGAGGCGAGACCCCTTGCGGCCCTGTATCAGTGGCGCAAGGAGGCGCGGGAGTTGGGTCGATGCCCCGAGATTCGACAAATCGATGACCGGAAATCCCAACTCCGCCAGGTCATCATAGGGGAGTGGAGGGAACGACTCGGGCAACCGAGCGCCGGGCACGCCGTCATTGCGGCGGTAAGACCCGTTATGGAGGATTGGCTCGAGAGGCGTCACGGGACCCTCTCATACCGATTGACGCAGGTGATCACTGGGAAGGGATGTTCGGAGATCACCTGTGTCTGATCCGGCTCCTTGCGCCAACGCCTGAGTGCCACCACTGCGATGGCCAGACCCTGGACACGGCTCTCCACACGCTGGCAGAGTGCCCGGCGTGGGTTGAGCAGAGGCGAGACCTCGTGGCGGCCATCGGAGTGGGAGTTCTCTCGCTCAATAGCCTGATTGCGGCTATCGTGCGGAGCGAGAGTGCGTGAAACTCTGCCGTCTACTTCTGCGAGCAAGTTATGCTCGCGAAGGAGACGGCGGAGCGGGACCGGGAGAGGTTTAGGACTCCCGACCCGCCAGGCCCGGGAACGGGCCAGGTACCGCAGGCGACTCAGGCGCCGGAGGTCGCAGAACGACCTCCGTCCTCCATAAGCGCAGGCCTGGGGGTGACAGGTGAGGCCATCTGTCACCCTAGCAGAAGCAGGCCGGGGTAGCGGCGAGCGCGTTGCGAAGCGCGCTCGCTTCCAGGGAGCACAGGGAACATGGGGTTCCCACACATTATTTAGGTCAGCTTACCATCTTGAGACACGTGCATAATAAGAGATAGTTCACAGGGGTATTTTTTGTAATAGCTTGAAATAATAAAAAACAATGTTAATTTTGACGTAAAGTTGATCTTTTAGCATTCATTTTAATATGATACAGCAATTATTATAATTATTTGAGTTATTTATCTGATTGCTATTACTTTCCGTTATGGGCAGTTTTGTTTTACGATAATCGGACATTAAACTCCAAAGTTACATAACTTTTAGTATGGACGCTA